TCGAATATATTTAAATCCAAGCACTACAGATTTAAAATTTTCGTTTTAAACACACAAAACCCACTACAACACAACATAATGATTTTCAGATCAATCGAATCGGTTTTGGAAATTGATTAGCAGAAAAAGTATTGATAGTTAAAAAAAATAAAAGATTTTTATTCGATGAGACATTATCTCTGTAGATTTCACTAAAAGGGAATATTTTACTAAAATAATTAATTTTTAAAATAATACAAATTTAACATTAAAATTCTCCTCGGTCCTATACAATTTCAAACAGTAGATATAATTGGTGTTGTGAATACGAGATACAACTATTTTTGTCGTATTATTACACTTAAAATGAGTACCAAGTGAGAATAATAATTGAACGAGAAGGTTTTGTAATTTAAATAGTTTTGTAAATGCACGGTTAAGTGTTAGTCATGGAATTAGGCATTCTATACGCCGATGCCTCTTAATAATAATAGTTACATTTTTAGGCCATTACAAACAAGGGCGAAACCAAGTGCGGATGGATAATAAACCGGATTAAAATGCAAATTTATCCGCCAGTATTAGAATATTATAGTTGGTAATGGTAGGAGCGAGACTGTAATTCATGCGAATTTGCTGTGTTACTGCTAGTATAATAATTTTACTCGACAAATCATAAAGCCTACGATAAGGTTTTACTGTCAGTTGAAGGATTAGGTAAGTACTTGTCTTGTTGTTCAGAGCTTAATCCCGCTGTCCAAATGGCGTAGACTTAATTTAATGTTTTCCTAATAAACTGTTTAATAACGTCGGCAGTATTCTTAATACAGAACTGCCGAACAAATTATTCAAAGCCTTCCAACAGTGTTAAGCAAATTAAATGTATAAAAAAAAAAAATATTATATAAGTATTTGAGGGTTGATGTAGTATTATTAATATGTATTATTCGTGTTAGTCATCATTAGTTTTGAGCTAGTTTTAAGTTAATAAACGATTTTTATATTTAAAGTATTCATTATTTGCAAAATGACTAAGGCAGCTAAATATAATTTGACTATTTTTTTGTTTTGTTTTAGACATTTAATATAAGCCCCTGCAACGAATGTTTTATCGTATTTAAATAAGTTGATATTTCAAATTATGTAAAACGAGTTAATGCACTATATAAGCGAGGAATTTAATATGTTATGGAAACGAAACTGCACGAGAGCAAGAAAATACCATTTATAAAGTAACACTGTAAGTTTAAACAGATGTTTCGTTCCCGAACCATAACGACATTATGCATTATTCATTCAACTGCCCAATGTATTTTCTCGTCATATCTGTATTATGTAATTTTTATTAAAAAAAAAATCTTTCTGGATGATACAGCTAAAAAACAATACCAAAAAGTAATAGAAACAATCAATAAACGAAAACAATACCTATATAATATGTTTAGAATGAAAATTCAAACATTACAATAAGCCAGTGTCAAGTTATCGCAGACCCAAATTTATTTAGCTGCAAGAATATTCTGTACATATATTATAGTCTAATCTATGTATAATATATTATATATATGTATGCGTATCAATATTAGGCAACACATGAATTTTATTTTTTAGATTTCTTTAAAATTTAAGTATACACTATTCATGCCTTTGTTAGTTTAAGCCTTTTTTTTGGATTAAAACAATTGAGTTACCTATCTATTTGTATTTAAAAAAGAGAGTACATTTCAAAACTATTTCTTTTTTTATCTAATTCTCTGTAGTCGGTAATATTATGATAGTTATCTATTGTAGGCAGTTAATAGTCGAGATACGATTAGAAAAACTTTATTAAAGTATTAATATTATTTCATGAACTAATAAAGACTGTACATTTTTAAGACTACCGAAGATACTATTATTTCGGGTAAACAATAATTGTACGCTGTGGAATTGGTTTACATAAGACAAGTAATGTATAAAGCTAGATTAAAACAATTGTGGTTAACATAAATGGGAACATAAAGATTGAAAATTAATTCTGTTCTCTGTTGTGAGACGTGCTATTCGCAGAGCCATTAAAGAGCTTCAAACCACGTATATGCCACGCCGGTTCTTTACAATAGAACGAAAGCTGTTTTAATTGAGGCACAAACACCAACATGATCTCGTTTCACATTCACAATGTACTCGTAAACTGCATACTGGATAATATAACTAAAGCTTCTGCATAAATCTTGGGTGCCTACTTTAGACAACAAAAGCACGGTGCAAAACGCGGATATTTTTTGTTCCAATTCCAAAATGTATCGATTATTAGCCATGTATATATAAATTCAATAGGTACTAACTACTACTAACAGCTGTAATCTGAAGATTTAGAAAAAAAATATCAACCGTCGCGTCGTGCTTACTGAAAGAATATTATAAGACGGCAAAACGAATACTCGCGGGTATGTCAACTTGCGCTTATTTTGCATCAGCTGAATAATAATAATAGTGTTATAATACTCTCCGTCTGTTCTTCCCCACAGGCTCGGTGTTGCTAATCCCATTAGCTCGCGTATATGCTCATCCGTCGCACAATAGAAACTGCTCAGAGTGAGGGTGTCCCGCAGGGAAGAGGAGAGGGTCTGCTTATTAAAATAAATAGTCTTAATATGTCATTTATAATACATGGGGTGTAAATTTTCGCACACCCAAGCGTCTAATCGTCTCTTTGGCGCACATAAATTACACGCATGACCAAAAAATAGCATCATTTATAATAAATAATATTAAATTCGTCAGACTGATGGTGTGCCGTACGCTTGTAGTAATTGTACGTGGTGCCGGATAAATTGTTTGTTGTGCTTTGGCCAACATTTCATGATTAGCTCAGTGGTTGAAATTTAGGACTACGAATTTATTAAACGCGCAGACGGCTAATGAATGTGAGTTTTTTTTTTAACGAACTAAAAAGAATAATTATTATTATCTGTCAAAACCACTAAAATTAAGAACGCATGCTTTAGTAAGCTGAAACGTTATTAGTATGGCGTTAGTCAGTGTAATATATTGTCGCGTATCAACTTATTTAGTAAGTTCAGTGTTTGGGTCCATAAAAAGTTAAGTAAAGTCTACCAAGATAAATAAACATGTTTAGCCGAGGGCAACGTATTGTATTGATCATCATTCGTATCAGCATAACAACATTTGTTTTGACGTGTTCCATGTGTCCAGGTAGCAAGGGAAAAAACCGAAAAAGATAAATTAAATTTCATTGAATTGAATTGCTAAAAATTAAATCTGTCGTTGGTAGAATACCATGTTGCCATACAACGAAAAATGTATAACCAATAGTATTATTGATATACATCACTATTTTCGCTCTGCTATTGTGTTTAAGCTTTTATCCCTAAACACATTTATCAAAAAAAAAAAAAAAAACGCATTCTACTGATCAAACAACCCATTTCTTCCTTTACCATAATATTGTGGTCGCTTTGATATTATATTGTAGACTAAATATAAACAAGATACAATAAACGGTTGAAAAATCGTCTTCCAGACGTAAAGTGTAAATAAATATGAAACATCAAAACTGTATTTGAGAACAAATATTTTATTCGCCTCGGCGCAAATATTATATAATATTCAATTCGACGACTTTAACAACGGTATAAGACCCACCAGAGTTAATATAATTACAGCGTAAATACTTTCTTTGTGATTTGTGAAGTGACCTTATTAATTATGATAAATAGCACATAATGTTAAAATCTTACCACCTAATCAATATTATCAAAAAATGTACATTTAAATCTCAAAATGTATTGGTTTGCTATCATTTTTAATCAATTTACACGTAGAGTATAATATCATTCAACCGTATTGTTTGATTACAAGTAGCCAACAGGTACATTTAGTGTTTTGCTTAGAATTTTATAGAGACTAAGTAAATAAAGAAAAAAATACAATAAAGAAGTAATCGGCCGACTTTTATTAGACATTTAACACGGCAGCCTATGTACCAGATGTTATAAGGTATAAAACTGCATCAAGTCCGGAAAAAAATCGGTACAGCTGTTCTATAAATGAACTTTAATACTTACCTCTATAACAATAATAATAATGGCTTCAATATAAGATGAATCGACCTAGTTAGTGTTTTTTATTACATCAATACCGAACCTTACCGATCAGTTCATCCACATATATTTAAACTCTCAATAAAATCTCGAGTCATTGCAATAATAAAGTGTATTTTCCATTATAACAAAATGTTTCTGCTAACAGACAGTTTAATAAAACAACATAACGTTGCCATATGCGATTATAATTTGTACTCAACGGGTAATATAACACCTTTAGTAATTAGAAACCCCGAAGAAATGGTTTTGTAAAAATTAAAAAATAAAGTTCTTAACGTTTGAGAAGGTAGTAAAATTCAATAATCGACAGTTAATATTACTTTTAATGGGTTTAGGCAAATAAAATAAAAAGTCGATCATTATTCGTGAGTGATTTCAGTAAATAAAAATTGAAAACAAAACTTTAATTGTTTAAATACTTAATTAGTTAATTTTAGATACTTTTTAATCAAAACTAACCTAATTAACAGCTCTCAAGTTAAAATAAAATATTTATTGACAAACAAAAATTATAATATAATATTATATCAAGATAATGTGTGTATTTTTAATTTATTAAATATTAAATATACCTATAAAAAAAGGGGTCATTTTTTTGTTATGGTACAACAGCACGTGAAACTTGAAATACTTCCCAATTTATTTAAACTGATTGAATAACAACTAAATAATCCATGGTTAGTTTTTTGATTAAATAATTTTAGTTTAATATTCATTTGATTACATTTAATTAAAACGTGATGAGTAATATTATAGTTTTAGCTAACTGATTTATCACTAAATACTAAATTGATTGAGCAATTGAAATAGCGGTTGAAACTATTTACACTTATTTAATGAATAACGCACTATACTGTTTAATCGGAACACTAGTAAGATATAATTATAATTTATAAGAAAAATGATGCTTACGGTTCTGTTGCCTAAGTTCTTCACTCTACAGTGAAGATAAGCGGTGCGGCCCACCAATCCGGTAACGTTGTTTGGTACAGCCTTGTCAAACACAGGTCCCTCGATCGGAGGCAGTATGTCTTGCAAAAACTCCTGTAAAAACTTCCTGGACGCCGTGGAATCTGCAAACAAATAGATAATAGTTTTAAAACAAGATATATTTTACGGATATTTACAATGAAAGAGACAATACAGCGTCAACAATAGTGTTCAGTTGTACATAAGTCGCTGAAACAAACGTCCATGAATTATTAATATAATGACAACCGTTCGTCGTATAAATAGCAATAGTTTGGTATATTATTAAACAAGGTGAGAAGAATACATTTTCCCAGAAAACCGTTCGCGGGTTAAAGCATATTATCAATTTATTAAGGAAATCACACATGTATTGTTCTCTCGGTGTCAACAACCGAAAACCAAGCTGCTGCTGTCGTAGCTTTGAACGGTATAACGCAATATTATGTTATAATATAATAATTATAATTATTGTTATAAGAGAAATATTATGATTTTTCCAAACGTACCAGATGCTGCCTAAGTTGGTCGCCTCGAACCTTTCGAATGTAGTCCTAATAGGTTTTAGGATGACAATAATTTTTTGTGACACTATTTTGCCGTTTTGGAATAAATGTTTTTTAAATATTATATACTTCACACAAAAATTGTACATAACCTATGTTGTCATTGGTATATCATATTTTTTACCTTATGATTGAATTTTATTGAATATAGAATAGCGTATCGTACAGAGACGCATTACTATCCATTCCAGACGACAGCGTTGGCTGTCATTGCCATATTGAACGGTTAAAAGGCACTTAACGCGACAGCGTTTTCCTCTAGATCGAATTTCAATCGACAATCAGAGTATAATATTTCGACATGGAGAGTTTTATATTTTCTAAATGTAATCTCCGACGTTTGTGCTCGGTTTCTATCAGTCTCGGCGTGTTCGTATTTAGGCGTATCACAGGCGTGTTCCTTTGCAGGTTTTAGCAACGCGGACTCGTGAAAGTTTTGTCGGAGAAAAGCTGTGCGCGACGACCGTTTAGCTGGTCGGTGTTTTTTTTTTTCTCCGTAAGGTCCCGAGGATAATTTTTAGTTGGCGACGAAAATGTAAGTTAACTTGTCAGCGAAAAGAAAGCGCGCGCGGCACCTTTACACGGCGTTTTTCCGTGTCACGAGATTTACTCGAATGGGAGGAGGAGAAGGGGCGGGGCGGGAGGGGTGGGGGGTGCGAGTAATACCTGTACGGAATTTATAATCGCCAAAGTTCGACCCGACGCGACAAACGCTCGCATAGCAAACTTGATAATTCCATTAATTCCTATCGCAGAAGTTATCTCGTTGTTGTGGCGGGCGAACTTATTTTCGCGGTTTACAGTGTACGTTGAATATTAAAAACGCCGCACATCACCGTCTGTACACGACCACCGGCCCTGCCGGCTCCGTCAGACCCGGCCAAGAAGACGGTCGGGAATCATACCCATACACAGTATCGTCGTTGGTTTAAAACGTATTGTAATTACATTATTGTGTTATTGGTATCGCGCGTAAGTGCGTACCACACGTCAGTCCCGCCCCGGAATCGGCGTTTCGACTTAAGCTCGACGCGTATTATCATTACACATTCTCGGTGCGTTACCATTAGGACATTAACATGTAAATTGCTTGGCCGATAAAACACATCTTCTATAGGCCAGACACGCGGTTACATAAGCGTAACGGCTCGCAGTTATAATTACAAAAACAGCGCCCAGCTCCGTTTTGCGGATAAAACGTCGGCATGACATTGCAGACATCAACCCCCCCCCCCCACCCCTTCGAGTCTTTGAGTGCTGCTACGAGGCCGTTAAACTATGCACGTATAATAGTAACAACACTCTACAACAACGTTTCCTAAATGTGTTTTTACCATAAACCACAATTAAACGTATAATTACTAATACCTACCGTTATTATGGAAACGTCTACGCGTAGAATTATCCGTAACGAAGACTTGCGCTTATACGGTATAATATAATTTTAAAAAAACCACAGGCTTTTAAAAAAATGCATTCGGCGAAGGATACACAATGCTTATGGTGATTTTTAAAATTAAATTATTGTTACTATAAATGTATAGTATTATGCATACTAACCCAGTTTGGTTATTATACAGATAAATGATAATAGCGCTAACGATTATGTAAATTCCTAACGTATCCTATAAGTTATGCAATTTTTGTTGACTAATCTATTGAGACATGTGAAAAAGTGACGTACGCGTGTTAAAAAGCGTTTCATTTTGATATTTTTCGATTAAAAACAAAAAAAAGATATGAGAAAATAACAAAAAAAATCAAACGAAGTGTTGCTAATGGGTGGCTTCTTAATAAAGTCCTTCATGTCTATCCTATACTCTTACCATCCAAATTTATTGTGCATCGAATAAAAAAACAAATTGGTATTTTGGAGACTTATTGTTTTCCATTAAGTCTAAACTGTTGATCGAATAACCTTCTTGATATTTCTAGAGCATAGTATTTTATGAGGGATAATACTTTGTAGATATTATGTTGGTTATAAAATACGGTTTTTTCTCTTATTACGATTTAAAAATAACTAACGCAAGAAAACATAGTGCCTAAACAAATTTAGTAAAAAGTATATTAATTAAAAAAACAGTAAATATTACAGTTGACTCGGAGAACTTTCTGTCTAGCTGTTCAGTGGTTAGGTGACACTAATAAGTAATAAATTTAAAATTTGTAACTAAAAACTTTCTTAAGCAACGGTAATTAACTTAAAACTTAGAAGTTTTTTTTTTTAGAAAATAATAAAAGTCAAATTAATAATGACACACGATTGTTAACAAAGGAAATTTCTTATAGAATTTTTTTGTATTATATTTATAACCATTAATCTAGCCTGTTCCCATTCCAGTACTTATTGTGTCGTCGATAAAAACGATACGAAAATTCTACGGGCAAAATCCGTTTTAAAATTTGAATAGTGTCGCCAGCCTTCCACCGGTATCAGTTCTTGGCAAATTCTACAAAGAGAATTTCAATAATACGCACTCCTGCAACCTTGTCGTGGAAAATAAAATTAGGATTAAGCAATACTCTCGTGTTGTTGCCTCGTCTCTGTTCTGACTCGAACCTGTCATTTCAAATCTAATGTAAAGTGCCCTGGTCTCGACCTACCTCTACACATGCACACACACAAGTCGTTCTTGCCAGACACGGTACCATACCTAATCTTATTTCACCGGATCGTTTCCCCGGGGAGCCAACCCCATTTCTTCCTATTGAATACAAACGTTTTTTTCTTCGTCCAAATCGACTATAGGTCCCGCAGGAGAGTATGATTTTTTTCTTCTTCTCTTCTGTCGTTCAACTATGAAAATCGTACCCACGGATATCCCACGGGGACAGTTTGAAGGTAAACACGATATGGTGTAATCAGCAGATATAGCATAGTATATTTGTCTTCAGGCGATATCGTCTCCACCTTCTTGGCAAACGAACGGTCGACTCTGACCCGGTGACTGATGTTTATCAAACGTCGACCTTATTAGTTTCACACCACCACCACTACGACACTGACCAGTGGTTGGTACCCGAAACTTTCCTAATGCCTATCCATTATATGTTTGCCTATTATTAATCCGAGCGCGTTGGGAATATCGTAGGGGCCGATCAGTAGTGTTTATCTGAAAGGTCACACTCAAACGTGAACAAAATAGACGACTACGATTAAATAATTATCATACCGTATTGATAGTTTCGACAGGCTCCAGACACTGATCAAATTTAACACGGGGATGATACTTATCACACAAAAACGCGGCGGCCATCTTCTTAAGGCTACACCGCCATAATGTTATATCTATACATCATTGTGGTTAGTTGTGTATAGATATAAGTCACATAATACTAAATAGGTCTTTACAAAGTGGTCGTCAACTTTTTGTTTACATTGAAAGTCACTCTTCTGAATTTTCCTATTTTGTGGTTTCGATTCAAACTCAGTGATAACTGTAGAATATTATACTGTTTTTCTTTTTACCGAAATTTGTATGCTCCGATTTCATTAAAGCTCTGTCGTTATAAAACAATTATATTAGGAAAATGAATAAGTTCATTTAAATTTCCAAGCTCTTATAAACGACATGGAAGGTTCATCCATTTTATATTGATAACATTCAAAACTATACTTTACAAAACAATAATTTCATATTCGCATCATTTCTACATTATTCTTCGTGTTCGGGTTAGGCAATTGGCATAATAATATCAAACAAAGTTTTAATATGATTATTTTAGTATAATATTGAATGTGTATTTTACTGGAACAGCTATTTATGGCGCACAGCGGCTAAGTAATAAAATTATTATTCAATCGTTCGAGGAGATGTCTTCATGTTGGCGGGAATTTAAAATGATTTTCCGTTGATGTACATTCTAGTTTGTTTAATGTTTTCCAATATACTTTATTGTCATGGACTTACAAAGTGCGCAATAAATAAAAACATAACATTCCAACAGTCGAACTGGGTTTCGTGAAATAAACGGTTCACTTGTCGAGCTTATATTATTCGCAATTAAAATAATTATTATAGTTAAATTGCTCATTCTACTTTAGCAACACTACTTGATGTGTGTACGTCAACGAGCGTGCCAGGAAGGAAAACGACAATTTCTTGAAGCTCCTAAATTATACGGTATTATTATGTTAAACGAAAAAAATTTATTTTTTTAGCCATGAACAATGTTAAAACAAAGAGTCACAGTGGTTTCTAATTTAAAAAATATGTTTATTATCATGTACTTTTTTTTTAATGTTGGTTACATCAGTCTGTGGTATACTACAACCCACAGTACAGTTACTTTGGGTAAAAAAGTATATGATGAATATTTTGAATTTGGTTTGAAATTTAATGATTTTCGTACGTGGTAGATAGACATTATATTGTACATCGCGTAGAAAGTCAAAATATTTGGCTCTCAAAAGCACTCGTGGATAATGTGATATATAATTACCCGCCAACGACGAACTTATGCGTTTTTCAGTATTCAAATTATTTTTACGGTCGATTTATTTTCTTTGAGGGTCAAAAAATAAGGACCAAAAA